TTTTTTTTTTTTTTTTTTTTTGCTTATTTCTTTGCGTTTCTTTTGCACGTTAAATGGTTTTCCAAAATGGACCTGAGATTGATATTTCTTGGCGTTTGTACCTCATGGTTTGTCTCCCGGTGGTTGCAATTTCTAGTTTCAACTTTGAATTCAGGTACTCAGTATTGAAAGCCTCATTGCTATTTTGTTTCTCTACAGGCTTTACCATTCTCAGATTCTCTGAAGCTACTATCTTACTTAAAAGATTGGACATCCAAACCCGACAAGGTAGACCTAGCTGCAGTTAGATTAGTCTGATTATGTACTGATATCTGCTTTTTTTTTATAGACAATAACTTACTGTTCTTTAAGTCAGTCCTTCTAACACATTCTTTTTGTACTTAATGCGTTCTTCTTCTCACTTCATGATTGGTAGAACCCAGTAAGATAAAGTTCATGGATTTTAATCATCATCAAAATGAGGTTGTTAGAATATCTTCATAAATCTTTTGAAAGGCCCTTTGATTGCCTTCTTTTTCCTGCTCTTGGTATGTTCACATATTATGTTAATGTTTTATAGAAAATGTATGAACGATAAGGTGAAAGAACAGGAGGTGATACTGCATGGACGAAGTTACTAATACTCGTAGAGCGAAGACATTCAATGAGTTCACTCCACTATGTTACTTGAAGTGTTTATATATATTCATTTTTACCACCCTTCTGTGGTTTCATTTTTGTTTACTATAGAAGACATTCTTGGGATAATATTCGCCCTGTACTTTATTTCTTCTAATGATGAATAATGCTGTGTTTGTTTAGATTAGCTGACTTTTGCACACCCATAAAATCTAATGGCTTGCATAATTTTTCTGCTCATTGGCAGAGAAAAATACATGTTACCTGTTTTTGCTAATCTTCTAGATTGTATTCTGTGAAGCTTGTGTTTCTTGGTCATCATCACCTAATATGAAACTTGAGATTTCTGGAAAGCCTTGCATATTAAATTGGACTTTATTATAATTTTTTATTTTATTTTATTTGTTAAATATGATAGGTCTGGAATTTGTGTGAATACTTGTGGGATATCACCACACCTGGGCGCCACATCAAGTTACAATTTTATCAGCGTAGTTGGTACTATTCTACAAATGATCTTGATATTAATTCGTGCTTATTTACGTGCTATCTGCAGGTTGAGCTCATTTGCAGGATATCTACAGTTTTGTTGCAGACACACCATAATCAACTTGTTACCACCCCTGCGGCAAGACCTGCATTAACTATTCTAAGAGACATTCTTTATGCTAGAATCAAGGTACTTCTGCAATTAGTTATAATGTTTTATACATGTTCTTTCCCTCTAATTTTCTCATTCTTATGGCCTCATTTAGAATTTCCAGATTAATGGTTGGTAAATATTCTATTACGGTTTGCACTTCATTCTAGAGGACCTACCTTGTCAGGAAAAATCACTTTTTTGTTTCTTGTTATGAGATCCAATTTTAAGTAATGGATCATGAGTACTACTCCGTGGTCAGGGCTAAAGTCGCAAAAAAATCTGGGCCCAATCAATTTGGGACCATAATGAAAGAAGAGAGAAATTACAAAAAATGAGCTGATCGTGAGAAGAGAGCAAGTAAAATCGAAAGTTTAAGGGAGTAAACACTAGAAGAAGACTTGAAATGCACGTGAGCCAAATTTCCTCCCTTGATATGTTAAAACCGTAAGATTTAGGTGTTAGTGGTGGTTGCTATTACAAACAATTGTGAGAATTCTGATCACTAAATTTCTATGGTATTTAATTGCCATACAATTTAGCATGTTTTTGTATGATAGAGGTGAATTGGCAAAATATGTGCTTCGTTGACAAGATGAATCTCTAATGTCTTAGGAATGCAAAGACACCATTGGTTTCAACTTAGCAGCAATGGATCATCTCAAGGTTTGTATTTCAGTTTACAATCCTTTCCAATCGATTGCCGTGATGTGAACCTTCATCATTTCTTATAATTTCGGATAATTTCTTTTGTCCATTTCAGCAACTACTTTCCATGAGGTCTGACGCACTATTTCAAGATGCTAAATTGAAGTTACAAGAAATTCGATCCCAGAATTCAAAGCGTTTGGAGACGAGGACAGATATGAGACAAGGAAAGAGAAAGAAGAAGAACAAGTAAATCCACTGATCCACCTGATTGGGTATAAGCTAACTCCTACTTGTTACCTGGCACTTTGTGTGGAATGGTTGCAGTTCTGCAGGAAGATACAGAGATTGTAAGATTATATAGCTCACTAAGATCACAATGTATTTGGTATCTGCCAATGGACGAGTGCGTTCAAGCTCTTACTATATTGCAGCTGCGAGGTTCGAGAGGTTCGAAAGGTTCGAAATGGCCATACGCATACCCAAAATCGACACAAAGTTGGCGTCGAGGAAAGCCTGTAAGATATCCTTATCAATTTTGATCTTACTATTACAGGAGCAAGCAATTGTACAATTTTGATATTATAGACTAAACTTTCTTGCCTGACAAGTTAAAATTAACCATTCAGATAGGATATGTAACTAGTTAAAACATATATATTTTTAATTAATAATTTTTTATAAATATTTTTATGTTAGTTAATAATTAAAATTATGCTATAATATGGTAACTAAAATATAAATTAATTTATAGAAGTAAGAGTTTGAAAATTTTTGCATTTTTTTTTAAATTATAGTTTTCAAAATTAAATTATATAGAAATGTATTATATAAAGAAATATTTTTTTTAGATATAAGGTTATAAAATTTTATTTTAAAAAAAATTATATAGAAAATTATATTTGTTAAAAGCTGTATAGAAAGTTGCATTAAAAAAAACATTTTAATCATTAACGAGGCACTAGCCGTTTTATAAAATTTTTTTTTTGTAATTTTATTTATGTATTTATGTTTAAGATTTTTTTTTTTTTTTTTTTTTTTCGTTCTCTTTTATATTGAAAAAGCTTATAGAATTACGTGAATCATTAAATCAAACTTAAATATTAATAAAATATTAATAAAATTTCATTAAAGTTTAATTACTAGAAATTTTAATCGTGTTTCTGGTTGAATAAATATATATCGTCAATTAAAATTTAAGAGGTTATAAGTTCAAACGTCAATAATACTATATATATATATATATATAATAAATGATACACTGAATAAAAAATTACTTAATTAAAAAAAGTATTGATATAATATACCACATTCTTATTTAATAATAGCCCAGTTAAAAAAGTAAAGGTCAAGATCATCTATAAATTACAAAATCAAATTATAGAAAACTGTTAATAAATACCTAACACAATGTCATTAAAAAAAAATATATATATAAATTACATGTCAGAGTAGAATTTCTAACATTTATTTTTTTTTTCAATAAAATGATATGCTCAATCCACAGTTTAAATGTTATTCAATTTAAAATCTCCCTTTTATAAATTAAATTAATCAAAATATCTTTATATTTTGACTCAAATATTTCTAAACTTACATTTATTCAATTTAAAATCTCCCTTTTATAAATTAAATTAATAAAAATATCTTATATTTTCACTCAAATATTTCTAAACTTTTAAACTTTCTAATAGTAATTTACCTTTGAATTTTTTAATAAAAAATTAATAATATTTTTTTAGATTTTCTTAAAAAAAAAAAAAAAAAAAAGTTTAAGGATGAGACAGGTGGAAATTTAAGATAATTGCGTAATTTTGAGTATTAATTGTTGAGAGTAAATGAATGGAATTTGCCAAATGATGTACAGTTAATTTTCATTCCTTTTTTAATTCCAAGCATTGGCCATATATATATATATTTCAGAAAATCTGTTCAACACAAATTCCTTCTTCAATGGCAATTCAAATCCTTTTGTTTACACTTTCATTCATCCTCTTCTCCTTCTCAGGTAATATATTCCTTCTTTTGTTCTTCACGTTCTTCTCGAATTATCGAGTCTTTTTTAAAAATATTAATACGTTAAAGATATTTAATCTTTAATTACCGTTTACAACCTATTGTTAAGAATCACGGCTCTCTATAGTGGTATGATATTGTCCACTTTGAGTATAAGCTCTCATGACTTTGCTTTGGACTTCCCGAAAGGTCTGATACGGAGATATAGTTCTTACTTATAAAGATGAGGAAAAAGATTGAATAGCGAAACTCCCAAACATTTGGTGATCTCATATGTGTTAATATACCTTTTATTGAAACAGATCTAATATTTGTCATCAATAAAATGTTAAATATGGTACCTATGTTAAACAGTAATGGGCTTAAACGAATCAATAATTATGTTGCAGGAGTTTACTCGGTCGAATTCACGGTTCAAAACAATTGCAAGTTTCCAATTTGGCCGGGAGCCTTAACCGGTGCCGGCAGCCAATTGTCGACCACCGGCTTCAAATTACTCCCTGGGTCGACACTGACGGTGACCACTTCTCCGCCGTGGTCCGGTAGGTTTTGGGCTAGAACTCACTGCTCCACAGATGCAACTGGGAAATTCTCTTGCGGAACCGGCGACTGTGGCAGTGGCCAAGTCACCTGCGACGGCGCCGGCGCAATTCCGCCGGCAAGCCTGGTTGAATTCACCATAGCACCAAACGGCGGCCGAGATTTCTTCGATATCAGCCTCGTCGATGGCTTCAACTTGCCGGTTTCGGTGACGCCAACGGGCGGATCGAGTGAGTGCAAATCGGTAATTTGTGCGGGAAATGTGAATGGGGTTTGTCCGCCGGAGTTGGCCGTTAAAGGGCAGGGTGGCGGCGTGATTGCTTGTAAAAGTGCTTGTTTGGGTTTGAATCGGCCGAAATATTGCTGCAGCGGAGGCCACGATCAGCCGCAGACCTGTCCGCCGACGAATTATTCAAAGATATTCAAGAATGAGTGCCCTGATGCTTATAGCTACGCCTACGATGATAAAACTAGCACGTTCACCTGCACGGGCGGAGCCAATTATGGCATCACTTTCTGTCCTTGATGGGTCCCACCAACAAATGTAATTTACTTTCTTTTTTTTTTTTTTTTAATAATTTAAATGATGGAATAAAATTATTAAAATTACTAAAGTCAAAATACCTAATTATACCTAATTACAAAGTTAATAGTGTTCGTGTGATATCCCTCATTGGTTGGGGAGGAAAACGAAACACCCTTTATAAGTATGTGGAAACCTTTTCCTAGCATATGCTTTTTAAAGCCTTAAGGGAAAGTCCAAAGAGGACAATATCTACTAGCGGTGGGTTTTGGACCGTTACAAACGGTATCAAAGCCCGACATTGGGCGATGTGCCAATGAGGAGGTTGTTCCCTGAAGGGGGTAGACACAATGCGGTGTACCAGTAAGGACACTGGGCCCCGAAGGAGGGTGGATTTGGTGGCAGTCCCATATCGCGATTGGAGAAAGGAACGAGTGCTAGCGAGGCTGCTGAGCCCTAAAAGAGGGTGTATTGTGATATCCTACATTAGTTGGGGAGGAGAGCAAAACACTAAGATGTGGAAACTTTTCTCTAGCAGGGAAGCACCAAAAAGGACGTTGGGCCCCGAAGGGGGGTGGATTTGGTGGCGGTCCCATATTGTGATTGGAGAAAGGAACGAGTGCTAGCGTGGAGGCTAGGTCCTGAAAGAGGGTGTATTGTGATTATCCCACATTGGTTGGAGAGGAGAGCAAAACACTCTTATAAGGTGTGGAAACCTTTCTTTAGCAGGGAAGCCTAGTGTCACAATCCGCAATATGATTGTGACTTGAGTAAGTCATCGAGGACGATGACTAAGTTAAGTGGGGGAGAATGTCACAACCTTACTATGAAGAGAGTAGGTTGTGACCCTCACGCCATGACAAGCAAAGGGGCGTCCCTCAAGAGACGCCCATCCGGCCATATGCGGGCCAACGTAGAAGAATGCCATGATGCGATCGAGGAGGACGATGCATCATCCAACACACCACCACGCAAAGTGGGCATTGAAGACATGTTGAGACACAAGCATAACAGAGACATCAGCATAGACATGAAGGACAAGATAGGCTTGTTGAAGGGCCGGGTAGGGCCCCGGGCCTTAACCTCAAAAGTCGAGGTTCCGGAAGGAATTTGGTCATGCGGTTCGGGAGTTAAGTCCGTCCATATGAAATATGAATGCTCGCCAAGTTTGGTGTCAATCGGACATGGGACGGACAATGCACGACACCGTATGACACCTCACGAAAATCATGTCTACTCCTGGTAGAATGAAAATGGCTCAAAATGTACTATAGGGGGTACCATGGTGTTAGCTCTCCACCACCCCTGGGCCCTGTGGCCTAAGTGAGCTACCCTGTGGCACATACGTGTGTCACAGTGTGGGCGAGCGTGCCGAGGCGAGTGTCTCGGGGCGACTTCCTTTGAAATGGGTTTTTGAAGGACAGTACCGGACGGCACGGGTGTGCCGGTATTGCGCCCTAGCCCGCGTGTTGGAGGTTGCTACATACACCCGCTATCCGGTACGGTATCCGTAAATGACTCGGCATAGGCACGGGAGGGCCTATGCCTCGATAGAACCCGGATGGATGGATGT